GTGAGATTATTGGTGGTTATCGTTTATCCTTATTTATTAGTTTATATAGGAAATAATGTATATTAGTTATAGCCAATGAGGATATCATCAGATAGTGATCTTCTTTGCTCTATAAGACAGCTTACAGGCTGACACTGTAAATCTTTCTAAATATTGATAACGCTTATATGATCAACCATTATTTCATTTCGTAAGCAACTTTAGAAGACAATTGTATAAGGCTTCGGTGAGAAGAATCGATATGAGTTTCCTTTCCAATTGTAGTCATTATATTTTGTCGTATTTTACTCTAAGTCAGTCATTTAAGTGCTATACGCTATCCACGATCATGTTTGTTTCGATTCATGACTGAGTAGACAGAAGATCTTCCCGCAGTAGGTCGTTTCTTTATGTGGTAGACCCGGTAGCAACCAAGGTTATAGGACTAGATCTGTCCTGCTGTTCAACCCATAGTTGAGGGAGAAGAGATGGTTCTATGCGTTTCCCAATAGTATTTGCGCATAAGTGAATGTAACGTGTCACTTCAACACATAGGCGATTATGGCCTTCCACAACGTCCTATCCTTTGTAGCTTTAATAATATTGTATTTTTCTATCCACCCCATTCTCTGTTGTGTTATTCACTTACACAAGCTCGTTAGGTAGGTTACTCGCTGTTTCTCTCCGTTTACCTCCAGTGTGTCTAGTGGTGTCATAGTAAAGTACCTATCAGCCCAAGATCATATCCGCTATATAGGAATCAAGTATCGCTGCCGACACTTGAGTTTGAACATAGATCGTCACTGAGCAGACACAGGCGATGCCATTATTGAATTAAGTATTGTCGAATCCAAGTTTGAGACATTCGGATCTCGAAGGCGAGTGTATGTGAGGTGAAGAACAAGTGACTGAATGATTACTACTTAGGTTGTGCCAACTGTAAAGCATGATGGAGGAAATGTGATTATCTGGGGTTGTTTTGCTGGCAATAGAGTTGGTGATATTTATTGGGTACCGAGAATATTGAATCAACATGTATATCAATCTATACAACAGAGCCACGCCATTCTATCTGGGATACGGCTGATCGGTGACAGACATGTGCAAGATAATGACCCGAAACTTATCTCTAAGCTATGTAAAAAATATTTACAGAAAAAAAAACAGAATAAAATAAGTTGACCGTCATGGAATGGCCGCTCCAATCACCTAACTGTAACCCCATCGAATTAGTTTAGAATGAATTGGATCGCAGAGTCAAAAAGCTACAACCAAATAGTGCCGTGTGGGCACTATTAAAAGAGGAATGGCCATTTGCAAGTGATTATTCGCTTTTATTGGTCGAAAGAATGCCAAAAGTATTTTCAGCAGTTATCAAGGCGAAGAGCGGCCATTTTGAGGAAGCTTATATTTAGCATTTTTTTTTATATTTTTGTTACAGAGTAAAAACACATTATGTAATGAATGTAATTATACATTTAATACAAATTTACCGAAAAACACTGAGTTATTTGCTTTCTATAAAGTTTTTTTTGAAAAAAACGTTAGGTGAACTTAAACTTTTGGAGAGCAGTGTATATAACAATTGTCTTTCTTAGAGTAGCGAGATGAAGTGTGAATGTTTCCGCTACGTCTGCCATCAGCAAGTATGAAGAGTCATATGAGAGGTCATAAGGATCTATTCGCTACAATCTTTAAGTTTAGAGTTAAACACTATCTTAATAATATGCCCATCTTACTTCCTCCTTGTGCGTCTATACAACAGCCTTACGAAATAGCCCTCTACCTTGTGTGACTCTTGGGACTTATTTCAAGTGAGAATTTAGTAAAAAATCAACAAAAAACAAATAGTCGCAATTTTTCGCCAAAATGCGAAACCTTTAAGTTTTCCCATTTTTACACCGTCACATTTCGAACACCCAATGTTTACCTAAATCCTTAGATGCTTCCATAAATCTTTTTTCAATTAGTCTATTTTTTGCACTGTCAGATTTCGAATAACCAATGTTTCCCTAATCATGCATCTTTTTCAATAGGCTTATTTTTGTACAGTCAGATTTTGAATCCCCGAAATGGATCTATTTTGGAGATCCGTTGACAAATGAAATAAAGCTGAAACCATAAATCCATGTATTTATTATTATTATTATTATTATTGTTATTATTATTTCTTTCATTCTTTATTAGTTTTCGACGATTTCATCACCGCAACCCCTGTCGGACCACGAAACTCGGTTTTGTCTTTGACTGACAAAACTGGTCATAAATTTAGTCCATAATCGAATCGGCTGATTGCCCAATGTCAATCAAAATGCAATAAAAATATAAAGCGTTAATGAGAAACAGTATTAGCGCATTGCAGCGGCCGATTGAAAAATATAATGCACCAGAACAGTTGCTTGTCTCTTGCAGTGAAGAATAAAAAAAAATAACTAGAAATCTGCCCACTGGGTTGTTACATAACATTAAAGCTCTGTTTGAAAACTCTTTGGATACTTTCTTCGAAAATTAAGGTCATTTTTAGTACGACTCTCATTTAAATACTTTCGCATAAGTTTTTATACCAAATTCTGAATAGGATATTTGCAAATATTGAAAATTATCTTCCAACTGGTTGTTAAGTATAGCTAGTGATATCATGGGTAGGATATTGTAAGCAAAAGAGCTCATGAGATTCCTTCACTCTTCTCAATCATTATACAGCAAATCCTGTTGTGATTATTTTCTAAGCATAGATGCAGCACAAAGCCGAAAGTATGGGGCACCCAGCGAGGATCGAACTCGCTATTTACTCGTAATTGATCTAGCAAGACAAGCTTGCTAACGATTATATCATGCTGAAGTGCCTATGGTGGATTTCTAAGCTTAGCTTAGATGTCGCACAAGGCCGAAAGTATGGAGCACCCAGTGTGGATCGAGGTCAATATGCAGTCGTAATTGTCTTAGTGAGACAAGCTTACTAACCATTACACCACGGTTAAATCCTGATTCGTTTTGAATGGAGCTTACTTAAATTTGGGATTTACTTATTGCTGCCCACGGTTTTTATCGGTACTCCGTCCTGTCTCACACATAGTTTAGCTCTTTTCATTAAAAAAGGAACAATATTCGTTATGACAAAGCACTTACAGGGTATTTCGAAGTCAGGGCAAGCAAGAGGACATAGGGAGTAATCTACTTAACGGGCCTTTAATGAAACCGGGATTAAAAAAAAAAAAACAATGCTAAATGATCAAAAGTTAGAGCAACAAAAAAGAACGTTGTGGAGAGCCATGATCACTCAACTTCAGAAGGGATATGGGACATAAAAGAATGAGATATAACACCTAGTCTGTCTAAAATAATTATGAGATAATTTTTACATAGCTTAGAGGTATATGTAACATATTTGATTATTTTTCCCAAAATTTGCTTTAGTGAATTTCAACACGGAGTCGCTCCATTGAAAATCAATAAAAATAGATTATCAATGGTTAGGAATTATTACAAGTGTTAGTGACAGAATAAAACAATTTTATGTATAATATGAATGGCTTCCAGCGAATGAACCCTGTAGGTCTTAGTCAGGACCATCTTTCTTCGAGCCACGTGGACTGATGCTACAGAATTACAAAAAAAAACTGCTCCACTTGAGAACTTTAACCACAGTAACAGTAAAAATGCATAGCACATGTAAGTTGAATAGCATTGTATGCTGAAAAGCATTGTAAATATTTTTTGTTATAGTCTGGGGTAGCACATTCAACTACATACGGCAGCAAGGCCTCTGATCGGAAGATTGGAGGTTGTGAGCGACAGGGAACCATTGCTTAATTTCCTAATTGATGTTGTTCTCACGTCCACCCTGCCTCGGGTTGATAGCACCTGTTAGGGTCTCACGTATGGGGAAACAGTGAACCCCCAAACAAGAACAAATCACTATAAAAGTATACATAAAAATACATTCTTATAATAAAATACTAGCAATACGTTTTTATTATTTTAAAAATTTCAACAATACATACTTGCAATAAAATTAATACCAATAGATTGTATATGTAGTTGAAGACACAAAATTGCGTTCGAAATATTTAGATTTCGACATAAAATAACCTATAGAAGTTTATATGCCGCTAAACAGAATCCACCATTGCTATAGATAGGTATTTTTTTATTGATTGATTGATACGTTCTGTACGGTTTATCAACCATTTAGAGGTTATTTAAAGCCAGAAAATATTTCTAGATTGTAAGATTTTTTTTTTTTTTTGATAATAAGTTTTTAGTGATACAAGTATTACTAATTAACCTATAGCTGCTGAAGAAAAGGTGGATTCACACCTACCCAAGGGTATTTGTGTGGAAGTGAATACAACAAGCCCACAGGGAATTGCAACTCGACTCTCTGATTAAAAATTCCTAGCCATTACCCATTACACCACCAGCATATCGAAGCTCACAGCACCTGGTATTCCCAAGTGGTCACCCATATAGATACAGACCAGGCTTGACGTTGCTTAATATCGATGATGTCACGGGAACTAGAATTTCAACGTGATGTGGCCATGTACGGAAATGTATTTTAAAAGTTTTTATCCAAGAAATGCATTACATATGAGCAAGAAAGAATTTTCATTGGTGCAGAAAAACGCAAGCATTACTGACATATGATAAAATAGCACTCAAAATAAAAATTTTAATAACGCGTGATGCAAATATTTCTATTAATATGGGTTTTAAAATAATCGACTGATATAGAGATTAAATTCATTTTGCTTTTATTCAAAATCAATTACCCATTACAATATAAATGTGTTATTGAAATGAGGAAATAAGGCTTGGAAAATTTGATACTCACAAAACAGATTAAAGATAAGAGGGACAGAAGGCAGCAACACCTAACCTACCTAGCGAGCATGAGCAGATGGATGGAAGAGCAAAGTTTAAAGGAGATAACAAAAGGAGAACATTTATTAAACGATAAAAAGAACAGGTAATTGTGAAAAGCTATATTTCCAATTTTTAAAAATATAAAAAAAAAGTCATTCAGGCAAAATCACAAATCTTCTGACGTTCAGGTACATCATTTGGAATAGGTAGATAGATAAAGAACGGGATGGTATAGATAGATAGATAGATAGATAGATAGATAGATAGATAGATAGATAGATAAAGAATAGGCTAGCATAGATAGATAGATAGATAGATAGATAGATAGATAGATAGATAGATAGATAGATAGATAAAGAATAGGCTAGCATAGATAGATAGATAGATAGATAGATAGATAGATAGATAGATAGATAGAATATATGTGTTGATGCTTGAATATGCTTTACACTCCGTGTGACGTCAGAGAACCAAGAGCCTCGATGTGTTCACCCTAAGGATGAGTTCCTAGTCACCGAGTGTATATACCCGCTTCACCCTGTCAGGGCTTATTCGGAATTGGGAACATTTGATCGATCCAGCCGAACTTGAGATGTGCACGTTTGAGAAAGGACCGTATGATATATAAAAACAACCGCCCCACTAAAGACAGTCACGTATGTTCCCACGAGAATGAAAGGTTCATGTTTTGAGAGGGCCCCGGGGTTACACACCCACGTGCCAAATAAGCTTTAATGGTAAGTATGTGATTCCGTCCATCTTTTCATTTTCAATGTACGATGATGACGTTGCAGATAGATATGAATACAACTAGATATAGAGAGACAGAGAAAAAGAGAAAGAGAAAGAAAAAAGTGGAACATAGATATATATAGGCAGTCCGGGATAGATAGATAGATAGATAGATAGATAGATAGATAGATAGATAGATAGATAGATAGATAGATAGAGAAAAATAGAGGAACATAGATTGAAAGATAGAGAGAGAAAGCAAAAGAGAATGAACTTAAACAGATATAGGCAGATTGGGGTAGGTAGAGAGAGAGAAAAATAGGAACTTAAAATATTCGCAGACTAAGATATATATATATATATATATATATATATATATATATATATATATATATATATATATATATAAAAGAGAGAGTGGAACAGACATGTGCAGACTGAGGTGTATGTATATATATATGTGTGTGTGTGTGTGTGTAGATAGATTGATTTCTTGCTTATAGATGCAAACATATTCGGTGCTAATGTCGTATCAGGCGTTGCCTAAACAGAAAGTTAAACTTTTTTCTCATCATTCATAAATACTTTTCTCACCAATTTTCCGATGGATGAAGAAAATACATGTCTTGCCGTCTCGTATTTCTCTTCAGTAACAGGCTTTACGAGATCTTCCAGCATTCCTTTGTTTAGGTTATTCAAAACAGAGGTGTGATATACCGAGTTTTAATAACCATAGAATTGCGCCATTTTGTAGAAGCACCTAAATTGGCACGAAAACAAAAACATGACATGAAAAAAATATTAGCATTACGATCGATAAAAGTGCCACTTTTTGTTACTTTTTAGTTTAACTTAATGTCCAACGATTAACCAGAAATGAAAGAGGGGGATATCTATGCTTATTTATGCAGGATTCGCTTGTTGAGACGTGTTGCTACTAAAAACACACAAATTTTTCTTCTGGGTATATATTTCTGATGAATATGAAATCAAATCTCTCTTTTTAATGAGCGGATATAGTGAAAGTAACTGATTTTTAGGAGTTGATATACAGGGTACGATAGATAAATTTTGGTGACTGCAAAGTATAGTAGGGTCATTTGGGCACCGCAACGCAATTCACTCCGCCAAAAATTTAGAAACGGCATGCTCTACTGCTTGGCATTCACGCCGAAAGCTTTAATACGAACATTTCAGAGTGTTTGGGTGCCAATCAGTGCATAGAATCTGGATGATATATCCAGTTAACAACATGGTGTTTGGGGTGACCATTAATGACGGCGACGTTATGCCTTTATTCTTCTTCCCAGACTCTACACAGAGGCCTACATCAGGAGGTAGTGCTGCCCCTGGGTTAAGAGTGTAGCTGCCGGAAGACTGGAAACAGGACTCTGCAACATACAACACAAGCAGGAGAACCCAGTCATTGCTGTCAGCCAATTTCTGCGATCACATCACCCCTCACATCTATCCACTTAACTCCACAGAGTGCAAACACCCTTGATTATTATGTGTGGGGCGCAGTTGAGCGATAGGCCAACAAAACACGTTGTAATTCCAACGATGAACTGAAGGTAAGAATTTTGGCAACACTCACTAACTTAAACAAGGAGACCTTCCAGAATAGATGCAGGAGATTCCCAAGTCGTCTGGTGGCAGTGTTGAATCCAATAGAGATTTTATGGAATAAATTTACTTTTTAGTATTTCAAGATATTTTCGTGTAATTTTGGTAAATATACTTGTTAAATGCGATTTAATGGTAAATTAATAACATTAAATGCTAATTTAATAGATTTAATGATAAATATGCCTGTTAAAATGAGATGTTTGTATTATTTTCATTTTTGCGTAATTTAGAAGACAATTTATCTATTACACCCTGTACGTTGCACAAAACCAAATGTGCCTATCAATAAAATATTCGAATATTTGTTTTGATATGCATAAAAACATCTCGGAGTATTTATGAGAACTTTTATTAATTATCAACGCCCTGTTATTGAATTTTCTCAATATTTGAATTGAGTTTCATGTAGGGATGTGTTCCTTGAAGACAGCACATTCTCCTTCCATTAAGTATTCCTTAACAATTTCTGGAGTAAATAAAAGGTGCGGCAGAAATACCTTCCACATATACAGAGAGAATTTTAGTAGAGATGGAATAAATTATACATCTCTCCTAAAATTCTCTCTGTTAAGGTTTAATCTCCCACCTCCTCATACTTACACTCTCTCTAAATTCTGTTTTTATTTCCGGAGTCGGTTTTTTCTGTTTTCTTTTTGAATTTGTAGGTCTGATGAATTGGATCGTATTTACGATTCCAATGGAATAAATTATGATTTTGCATATGTATGTATATTTTCCACTAATATTATCTATCTATCTATCTATATATATATATATATATATATATATATATATATATATATATATACGCCACTGAAATCCGAAGACGCCTTAGTATAGAGAAAGCTGCCTTCGAAAAGCTAAACAAAATATTAAGCAACAGGAAAATTTAGGAAAATTTAAAACTAAAAGAAAAAACTGAACTGTTGTGTAATATCAATTTTGCTATATGGTAGTAAATACTGCACAATTTACTCACAGATGAAGAAGAGATTTGAGGCAACCGAAATGTGCTTCTACTGAAGGATGTTGAGAATAGCATAACATATGAGTAACGAGGAAGTTTTAAGGAAAACAGAAACAAAATGAACGCTTAAACTTAGAATCAGAGCAGTTCAGATTTCTAGGACACATAATCAGGAAGAAAGGCTTGGAGAATTTGATAGTCGCAAGATATTGAAAGTAAAAGGGGCAGAAGGATATAGGGAGTGACCTACTTAATTTGTAAAGGGAGTGAGAGAGACAGCGAAAAGTCAAAACATTACTAAGAGCTATAAAGGATAGGAAATTGTGAAGAGTTCACGATCTGAATTGACATGGTACATAGAAGAAGAAGATGAAAGAAAGAAAGAAAGAAAGAAAGAAAGAAAGAAAGAAAGGAGACAGGCATTGATAGAGACAGATACACAAAAGAAAGAAAGAAAGAAAGAAAGAAAAAAAGAAAGGAGACAGGCATTGATAGAGACAGATATACAAAAGAAAGAAAGAAAGAAAGAAAGAAAGAAAGAAAGAAAGAAAGAAAGAAAGAAAAAGAAACAATAAGAAAATTATAATTAGAACTAAATACATCTGAATCAGGATTATACTGATACGGTTCTGTCAATTTTTAATGCTTCCCACTGGCTTTACCGCTACACCATTACTCCCTCACCTTGCCTTCGTTATTCTCCTTACAATGAAAAAAATAGCAGATATAGAACCAGCTTGGAAAGCAAAAAGATGTGAGCTTTCTATATTAGATCAGCTCACGAGAAACCCAAATATCTCCACACGCAAACGCAAGATCAAGCGAAAATATAAAATTAAAGCCTTAATTGAAATTCCATCAAACAAGGAAATGCTGAAACAGAAACTTCATTTAAAGGCCCAGAGAACAAGACGATACGAAAAACGGTGCAGGTTCTATCGCCAAAATAAAATATTCCAAACGGACCTTAAGAAATTTTACAGGGAAATTGGTAAAGCACCTATACATGTCGAAAAGCCACTATCTATTAACAATGTGCAAACATTTTGGGAGAATATTTGGAGCAGCCCAAAGGAATATCACCCAAATGCAGAATGGATCCAACGTGAAGAAAAACGAATGCTGGATACTCCTATGCAAGAGTGGGAAAATATAACCACAGATAATGTGAGGCAAGCTCTAACGAAATTCCAAAAATGGAAATCCTCAGGAAATGACAAGGTGCCCAATTTCTGCTTCTATTATCTCTCATCAATCCATAAAACCCTTGCAAAAACTCTATCAACGCTTTTAAATAATCCCAATGAAATCCCGGATTAGATCACTGAAGGTATTACATATCTTATGCCAAAAACGAGTGAAACAGATGATCCGACAAATTCTAGGTCAATAACATGTCTCTCCACTACGTTGATCACGTCTATCTTGACGAATCGAGCTTACTCTTTTTTTCGAAGCAAACAACATTCTTCCACTGGAACAGAAGGGATGCGGGAGAAGTTCTGTTGAAACTTGACTAATGCATGGAATAATAATGCAACACAAAATGTACTTAGAACAAAATGTATTGAAACAAGAAAGTGTACACAATATTTACATATAGTCTTTTGTATATTCCTGGTAAAACCGTTCTTGGAGAATGTGTTGACTGAGTCGCAGTCGGGCAGAGTCTCTGGTTGAATCTCTTGATTCCTCCCTCTCTTCCCGGTACCAACCATATTTATATGGTCGGTACTCCACTATGCAAATTAGGCGGATCCTACCACAACAAGTTCATATGACTGCAAAGATCAACTACTGATAAAGAAAATGATCCTGGAAAATTACAGGAGACGATGTAGAAATCTTAGCGCTGCGTGGATTGATTATCGTAAAGCCTTTGATAGTGTGCCACACTCTTGGATACTTAAGACTTTGGAAATGTAAAAAGTTTCCCCTGTGATAGGAAAATTCCTTAAGCAGAGCATGACAATATGGAAGACCATACTATACCTAAATCACACCAGAGGCACTGTCATCTCCAAATATCTGAATATCCGACGCGGAATCTTTCAAAGAGATTCACCCTCACCACTTCTGTTTTGTTTGTCCTTACCCCCCCCCCTTACGCATGAACTAAACAACAGTAATGGTTACAAACTAGAGAAAAATATTCAATCACCTACTCTACATGGATGGTCTCAAGCTCTTTGCCAAAAACGACAATGAGTTGAAGGTCCTTCTCAATATTGTAAAATGTTTCAGTGACTACATAGGCATGGACTTTGGATTAGATAAATGGGCAAAAGTAGCATTAAGAAAGGGGGATTTATAGAAGCACCATCAATAGATTTAGACTTTGTCACAAAGATTAGGGAATTGGAACAAGATGAAGCCTATAAGTACCTAGGAATTAGTGAAGGAGATGGTATACAACATCCCCAAATGAAGGCGAAGGTAAGAAAGGAGTGCTACAGGCGTGTGCGTCTGGTACTAAATACCGAGCTGAAGTCAAAAAACAGAATATCAGCCTTGGCTGTCCGTGTGGTGCAATACAGCTTTAACATCGTTAATTGGACCTTAGATGACATTAATCGAATGGACGCCAAAACGAGAAAGCTTCTCACTTGCCACCGCATGCATCATCCTAAAGCTGATGTTGATCGTTTGTATGTACCCAGATCCGAAGGAGGCAGAGGATTACTTCAACTAGAACTGTCCTACAAAACTACATCAATAGGCCTTCAAAGATAACTGGAAACTACAGAAGACTGGATGATGATATGTGTCAAAGAACATGAAAGTAGTAAGCGCTTTTATTCCGTAATAAAAGAAGCCAAAAATTCCAAAATGGAATTTCAAATGGATCAGCAATACAAGTAAAGCACAATACACCGATTGAAGCTGCAAAATACATAAAAAAGAAAGCAAAAACAAATGCAACCGACCAGATATAGAAACAATGGCAAGATAAACCGCTTCACAGTCAATACTCTGCTCGTACCAAACAAGCTGATGTAGACAAACCCCATACCCATCAGTTGCTACGTAGTGCAGAGTTAAAAGCTGAAATCGAAGGTTTTATCCTTGCTGCACAGGATCAGTGCTTGTTAACTAGAAATTATCATGTACACATACTAAAATATTGTGTTAGCCCAAAATGCAGGTTCTGTGATAATTACCCAGAAACAATCGATCCTTTTTTATCAGGTTGCACGATATTGGCACCCACTGAACATAAAACCCGGCATGAGAGAGTTGGCCAATATCTGCACTGGAAAATTTGCAACTTCTGCGGTAAGGAAACTGAAAGAAAGTGATATGAACACCACCCAGACCCGGTTACGGAGATAGGACCTGTTACAATTTTATGGGACTACACAATACACACAGACAGAACAATCAAAGCTAACCACCCAGACATTGTTATTTGAGACCGAAAACCAAAAAAAGTGCTTCCTTATTGATATGGCAGTCTCTGCGGACTACAATGTATCTTTGAAGATCTTTAAAAAGCTATCAAAATACAAGAAACTTGAAATCGAAATTTTAAAAATGTGGCACATGGGAACATCAACTATCCCTGTTGTATTTGGATTGGTTGGAAAAGATTCCAGTAGAATAATTGAAGGGATACCTGGAAGGCCATGCTTTAAAGAAATTCAAAAACTTGTTCTCACGAGTATAGCCCACGCCATATGAAGGACTTTATCTATGTATATATATATTTTTTTTTTTGTCAGTGGAATATGTCATGATGTCATTTCTAACCTTAGGTCTGTGGTGGGGGACTCAAAAGAAAATTTGTATACAATAGAAATCAAAGGAAATAAACTTCGGTACTAAGTCTACACTCTGAATTGAAAAATCAGGAAATGTATTTTCAATCGTCAAGAATAGGATTCTAATATCGATATTAAAATAGGTTTCAATATACTGTATAAATGCATTGCTAATTTCACTTTAGACATCATTAATGATTTGATTATAAAATGTAATTATAAGTAGATGTTGTAATATATTAGAAATTAAGGCAAATGTTAGTGACGGATAATGTAAATGCATTCCAAATTTAATTCTCTGTAGAAAGTCATTGCAAATAATCTGACTATAGTATTCACTGAAAATTATTTTCTGTAGAAATGTGATTATTTGCCTTAAGAAATTATTGATAGCTTCCTAAAAATATTTGTGGTGTTATGAATATAATTTATATACATTCCTAATGATTTCGCAACAGAAATCATTACTCCTAATTTTACAATATAAATGCATTATAAATTGTTATTTTCATTTCTTATGCTATAAAAATACATTGGAGACTAGGAAAACTGAGTGTCAATGACCAGGAATTAAGATAAGCATTAATTGAACTGGGCAATTACATGCATTCTGTAAATACATTTCTGTTTTATAATTTTTATAGGGCTATTCAAAATTGGCATCGCTAAATATACGTTTTCTTTCTATTTTTCTGTTTTATTTGTTTGTAGATACATTATTATATTTATCTTGTAGACGTTTATATGGCAAAAGCAGGGTCTGATTCAGTAGACTGGAGTCTGCGCTTTTGTCTGAAGTGCAGGTAAGTGGAACGAGACAAGTACTGACATGAAATGCATTTCATGTATTGAATCTGTGCACTAACGTCAATTAATAAGGAAACAAAAAAAACTTTAAATAGTGGACAACAGGCGTTTTCATCTGTTCAGAAATATGCAAGTCAATGAAAATGAATTGAAAGAAAACATCACTGAAGCCGTTTTACTTTCATTTCGCCTCAGATATTTTCTTTTATTGACTAAAACCAAACCGAAGGAAAAATGAGTCAAAATTATGGTTTCTTAAATAATAATCTACTTTATTGATCACTGATGTTTTTCTTCTGTCAAAATTAAACGGTTCCATTCTCAACGTAGTTCTACGATTTGAACGCCTATTGAGATTCGAGTTCACTCTAGACTTCAAATATACGAACCATTTTCACAGATACTTCATACATACGAACCATTTCCACAGATACTGGAAAAAATGATTAATTCATTCTACTGTTCCGTAGAAGTACTTGGCCCCTTCTGTCACATTACAAGAATCAGATTAGACCAGAAATGGAGTATTATCTGGGTTGGAGTTGCTCAGTTCTTGCTTCCAGTCTTGACAGAGTTCAAAATAGTTTATACGGTTTTGTAGAAGCTGACTCTTGCTTCACTCCACTCCACAGGTTCTTTCCCGCAGACGAGACGTCGCCAGCCCATCGCTATTATTTCCACGGTAAATGTTCAGAGGTGCGCCACTCTTTAATTCCACCTGTTCAGACATTCCAACCTAGAACTCGCCATGTCACGACGACGAAATCGAATTCTCTGTATTGCCCCCGTATTTCATGTGCAAGGAGGAAATTACATTCAGACAGCTTTCTCTCGAGAACTACTATTTTTGGCGCAGACTTTCGCATGTATGCTTCCTTGAACAGTAAAATCTTAACCCGTTCAAGTCAAGTGTCAATCTCTATCTATCCTTCTTATGCTCATAATTTTAGCTTCCTTCTACTTCCTTTTTATATTCACACCATACACCTCATTCAATAACCCTCTACCATGAGTGACTCTTGATCCTTACATTTGGGGAACTTTAATATAAAACAATCACAAAGAAAGAAGATGCTGCACCTAGTCATCTTCTAAAACATATCGATGGCACATAGGAAATTTAAGTGAGTTAAGTTTGAATCCTTTAAAAGGGTGGATGCAATTCTTAGAACGGGGTTACTCATAACTATCTTTGAGATAACGAAAGAAATCTTGATAACGCAAACCAATCTGTTCCTGGTTAAGGGAGATCAGCAGGAGAACCAAAAGGTGAAAGATTATGAGAGTTGATCAGGAGGTTTTCTTACTTTGCTTCCATGATTAGAGACGATGAGTTAGCTTAACCAATCAAAAACGTTCGAAATCTGAATATTTTCAAACTACCAGCCAGATCACCTAACCACTAAACTAAAATAGCAACAGCAATTTCATGTTCGGACAGGCAAACGCTTTCGGCTACTGAGAGTGATTTTTCTTCTTTTGTTTAGCGATGATTACCTTTTCTATCTCTCTATCTAAACTATCTCAGGCTGTTCATATCTATCTATCTATCTATCTATCTATCTATCTATCTATCTATCTATCTATAAAAGACTATTCATATCTATCATAGACTGTTCATATTTATATATCACTGTTCACATCTATCTATCTATCTCAGTCTGTTCATACCTCTCTGTCTATCTATCACTGTTCACATCTATCTATCTATAATGAATAATCATGATTATGGTAGCGATAATATGACAATAAAAAGAAAGCGATTGTTAATGTAGATTATTGTATGCACGTACACATTCACTTTTATATACACACACGTCCGATGACGTAGAGATACATGTAGGTAGGCTGGAGTAAGATAATGAAATAGATATGAACAGACAGATATAGATAAATATCTAGACAAACAGATAAATAGATAGATATGAACAGATTGTGATAGGTAGATATCTGTAGTAGTTCACAGTATACATAGTACGCACTCTTTCTAATACACATACGTGTGTGTATATATGTACACACACACATGTGTGTGTATGCTTATCTTCTAAATTATATATATATATATACATTAGGGAGTATATATATACGCGTGTGTGCGTGCTAGTGTTCAAATATTTGTGTACATCTTTTTTTCCGCGAGATCAATTTTTCATTGATTTGTGTTATATATATATATATATATATATATGTGTGTGTGTGTGTGTGTGTGTGTGTGTGTGTGTGTGTGTGTGTGCGTGCGTGTGTGCGTACGTGTGTGTGGGGTGGGTACGGGCGAATAATAATTTGTCAATATTTTGATTAGCTAATATTCTACATCGCAGATAAGAGATCGATTTATAGAATAAAAATGCAAATAACTCTTTCGATTAACAGGATAGGATGATTTATGATTTTCTTATGCGCACAACGACACACACACACACACACACACACACGCACACACACACACAAAAACGATCACAGGCAGGTGTGGCCTGTTTTAACTAATTCTGGAAATTTATCGACATAAATCACACGTAAGTAGTGGAGTGTTATTCAAGTCACGGTTTTTCTCTCTCTATCTCTCTATCTCTCTGTCTCCAGGTATATTGTATGAATATATATTTTACTTCAAATGTTCTTGGTTGTATCAATCAGAAGACATCTTGTTCAAGAACTTATAACACTTGCTGTATTATCTTGTCAACATCAAAAATACTGAACAGTGCCATAATTTTACTGCCTTCTAGCTTAAATTATTGTTTATCTGTTTATTCTAACTTATATTGTTTGACTATTTTCCTGAATGGTCAAATCCTTAAGCTTAGCCATCAGATCTTGCCAATATAGTTCTATATTCATCGCTAAAAATTATTATTAATATTTTCCTATACCTCTTCGGCCAACATAAACGTCTTTCTTTGTCTTGCTTATTTAAAGGTAGTAAGTGGTTTGCTTTCATGCCTTTGACTAATATTCTTAATAACCTGCATCTTTATCTCTTTATTTACATTCGCAAAATATATTTCAATTATAATTTTGGTAACCTTATCAATTCGAATATCATCTAAGGCTGCCAACATCTCCCTGACTCTGTCATCTGCTTCTACTTTATTGTCTCTATTCATCTTGTCTAGTGCTGATCCAATACAGGGGATCATTCCATGTTTTTAGGTATTGTAGGTTTTCTCCGTTTTTGGATCTTCAGACGTAAACTTAACAACTTATGATATGCAAATGGAAAGGTTATCAACAGATTCAGTAGAAAAACAAATGAAAATTATTAAACGAGGTAGCCAAGTAAATCAAGAAAAAAGCACTGGTCATTAATAATTGTTATATAGGAATAAAGTGTCACTGCCGACACTTGAGTTTGAATATAGACCGCCAGTGTGCAAACACAGGCGATCCCATATTTGAATTAAATGATCACGTGACTTTAGGAGTAACGCATAAGTAGGAGGTAGTGTGACATCTAAATGACCGCTATTTCTACTCTATCCTCTATTACTGTTATGGTCCGGTTCCTTGTACCACGGTGATAGTGCAAGGTAGAACCAATAAAGAAGAACTCGAATACGGATATGGAATAACACAGATATATTACAAACAGGAATATATACTGAGAGGTAGAAAAGGATTAGTACGAACAATCAGGTTTAGTAGTAATTGTCTGAACGCGACTCTGTTTCGGACTGCCTCTGACACGACTGACTGACTCCTGACGGACTTCACTCCAGACTTCAGACTGAACTCTCTGCTTCCTCTTGAGGCGCAGTATTTATTACGTATGGAATAGTCCATTATGCTATTATGGGTAAGGTCCCATAACAATTACGATACGGACCGTTATTCTCTACTCAATTCACTTTAATAGTTCTCTATACGGATTACTATTCGGTGGTTACTTTCGAGCGGGTATTATCAAGTAAGTACTATTAGTGCGAGTGATATTCGAACGCGTCTGACACCAGTATTGTTAAACGGCGTTACTATAGTTATACCTGCGGTTACAAAGACTCTACTACAACAAGCATTACAAAAGTGGCAACGAGTGTTCGTTGACATCTCAAAAATAATAAAAACATATAGAATGCATGGTGATAAGCAAAAGGGGCAGTAAAAAATGGAAATTACACATCAGGGATATCAAAATCAAGCAATGTATTAACAGACAACGGAAACATCTGAAGGCGCATGAGAATTGCAAAATAGATGTTTCAGAAACTAAGTAAACGAAGTAATGAAACAATAATATCAAAAACGAAGAAAATAATGCTGGATGGCCTCGTGACATCAAATCTCTTATATCGCTGTTAAAATTAAACAATTTCATCACAGATGCTTTCTGCCGACGAATAGTCGGACAGATTATGGACAGTGCATGAAACATGAGGAAAGTCTCAATACAACAGGAATGATAAAGTAGCTTTTGACAACAGCAGAAATTTTGGAGGAGAGACGGCAAGAAGAATTTAATCTTTAGACAGAATATTGAAAACAAGAGAAGAGGAAAGCCGTAAGTAACCTGTTTGACTACACTGTGAAAATGGACAGAGAAACAAACACCTGAAAGAAAAACAGTGGTTATAAATTTAAAAAAGAACGTGTAGAGAAACCATAATCACCTACGTTCTGAAAGGAATCGATATGTAGAAAAGATTGATTGATCGATTTGTTTTTTACAACTATAACTAGCGATTTGTTTTTTTTTGTTTTTTTTTTTACGACTATAAGGATCGATTTGTTTTTTACGACTAATACCAATAAACGCTTGTTAGCCATTACTGTTTATTTTAAACCCAGAAAATACTCTTATATTGTAAGAAGGTTTCGGAAATAATAATGACTAACTGATACAAGTTTTACTATTTAACCTCTAGCTGGGGAGATAAGAGGTGTATTCATGCCTTTTTCTAGGTTATTTGCACGTAAGTGAAAATAAGGAACCCGACTGGATCTGAAACTCGGCTCTCCGATTTCCAATTCTGTCGTTATCCATTATACCACATGTATGCCCAAGCTTACAACACCTGGTATTTCCAAGCGCTCACGCGTCCAGGTACTGACCAGGCTCGACGTTGCTTAACTTCGGGGATCGTGCAAAAATCGGTGTTTCAACGCGATGAAGCAATAAGCCTTATAGAGACGAAGAAAAAAGAAGACAGGCAATTTTTAATTTAAAGAAAACTAACTGAATTATTCACGATCAAGATCCCAGCCCCTCAGTATCTGCCTCAGGTGCGTCTAGAACAACACAGTCTGATTAGGTCGATATACTGTAAGGCTGGTTTTGAATTCAGAGTTTTTCTTTTCTTTTCAGAAAATGTTGGCTCAGCCAAGTTTCAAGAATCCAGTCTGCATTATTATTTATACAGGTTTGAATTCAGATTGTTTCTAAACCAATGCAAGGCAAAAAAAAAAAAACTCAAGCTACTCTACTCTTTAACCCGTAGCGGAAGCAAGATGGATTATTAGTACGAAACAGACTCGGGCTGTATTTCAGTTGAGCGCCGATTTTACTTTCTTCTCCTAAAACCGATACACTACCCGAATGATTAAAAAAATGGTAGCGAAAGCTTATTTAACTAAATACCTAAGTCAAAAGCATTAAGTTTAACTGGAGGATATCTTCAAATCTTGCAAAGTATGAAATATACATTAATTTTTCTGTAGTCAGAACGCGAAAGACTGAGACAAGATGGCTAACTGGCAAATCATTGTTGTGATGACTTGCCACCAAATACGTCTAAAAGAAGATTTTATATGAAATTTTGACATGCGGGATTATCATGATTATACACTGATTTATTCGGACGGAACTTGGTTGTTACCATCACAATGAGAGGATGTATGTCAGAACAAGTTCAGAAATTACATGGGCTATAAAATGCCAGAACAATAGAAAAAACATTTTGGATACATGTCTCCAAGTATCGCTCAGAATATGCGCCATTGTATGTGGTTGTAGCAAGAAAGAAAACAGAAAGAAAACTGCCTTCAAAAAGTAAGCCTGGGGGATCATCAGAAAGTCTGGGAGTAATCTGGGAGAAGACGATGAAATCAGATACGGCTGATTGTGTGCGAATGAAAATTTTTGGTTACTGATTCCTATTTAATGAAATCAGAATAATAGAAAATGGAAAATAACTCAACGGAAATAATAGGCCCACACGCTAGGCGTTAATAACATCCTAAGTAGGCCGAGCATAGAAATGAACTCCATGTGGGCAAATTTAATTAAAAAGGAAAGAAATTTTGGTATAAGACTAAAATATTCTACAATTTTATTAAGCTACATATTGTTTAAAAGTTATATATATTATAATTGAAGAGGCCAATAACCGGAAGTACGCTCGACAAAAATTTTGAAGTGTCGAAATTCCAATGACGACCTTGGTTAAAAGAATCAAATTACTTAGCAGCCGCGAGCTCAATCTCTTGGCCACTCATTCAGTGAAAAGGACAAGTAACATCTTTTTATGTACTTTCACGATCATATTTCCCAACTGCAGTTGGGAGCTCACAACATGGGTTGTTTTTCTTGCTGACAACTATACATTCTGTCTTTTAACAATTGATAATTAGTCCTTTCTTTTCGCTTTTCTTTACTACATTATGCAAGACTTCCTGCAGTCTCCATTCGATGTCTGTTGTCATCTGTAGATCTTACGGTGTCAAGATTGTTCAGACCGTTAATAAATGATGCTGAGACTTCAGTTTCCTCTTTTCATTGGTCATAAACCTGTGACAGTTATATATAATTGAAACTGGCGATCCGAGTTCAATTTCTAGACAATTTTGTCTCGTTCACTTCGCACTAATGCCTTTGGAAAAGTTCTGAATCCTTCCTCTTCCAACTATGGGATAAATAGAAAGGCAGACTGAGCCCTTTTACCTTGAGTGGCAGCGAACCTATGAGAAGGGCTATTCTAATTCAAGCCTCAGGAGGTCTATTTGCCGACATTTTTGCACACTATGTATCATTACACTGTTATCAATTTTTACAAAATATGTAACCGGTTCATCAACAGAAGTCTTCATCAATATAATCAAATATGTATGAGTAATCATAGTTGAACTGTTATGACCTCATACGTCGAAATCAATAAGTTATATATATATATATATATATATATATATATATATATATATATATATATATATAGATAGATAGATAGATAGATAGATAGCTCAAATGATGATCGTGTTAGCGCCATGAAACTCAAGTAGTGTAGTGGGTATATATATATATATATATATATATATATATATATATATATATGTGTGTGTGTGTGTGTGTATATATATATATATATATATATATATATATATATATATATATATGTGTGTGTGTGTGTATGTATATATATATATATATATATATATATATATATATATATATATATATATGCATATATATATAGCTGATTTAAAATGATTTAATTTGTTGTTAACAAGGACAAGAAATGGTTTGTTAATTTTAACGTCTGCAAAAGTGCAATCTATTAACATTCTTGGTTGACATAAAGTGAAAAGATTATATTGAATCCATTGCTAAATCTGCTGCTAAAAAAAGTTGGTTCACTGTGTCGAACTAGAAAATTTTCATCTCCAGAATCTAACTTACATATTTTTAAGTCTATCACTGGTTCATGCTTTGAATATCGCTGCCACATATGGTCCGGTGCTATATATTTAGAGAATTTTGTTAAAATCTAAAGAAGAATCGGCAATATTATTGGTCCTGATCTGGCATCTCAGTTTCAGTCAATTTTCGACTCTTCTATAAATACGTTCATGGTAATTGCTCGGATGAACTCTTCGCTATGGTATCAAGACTTTATGAATATAAGCTCAGTACTAGATTGAAAACAAGACTCCAGCAATGTGCAGTTCAATTGGCTAAGATACAACCATTCTATGCTAACAGTTCTTTTCTCGCGTTTCTCGCTTGTGGAACTCTTTTATGGCTGCATGCTTTACATTCAACGCTGATCTTCAAATATTTAAATGCAATGTCAATCGATATCTACTGTCTCCACGATTACTCTTCAATTGTTCTTGCTTCTTAATAATATTCTTTTTTTTTCTTGCTGTTTCACATTCAGTAACGTCATGTGTCTTTACTGTCTCCTGCATCTAGCTTTCTTAGTGAAGCAAGTCAGCACGTGACGATGAAAATTTAGCTTCTCCTCCCTACCTCTTACAAAAGAGGCTACAAATAATGTCGCTCATATAATAAAGCGATATATATATATAAAGCAAATTTCGGATGAGGTCCACGACGCCGCTCATTTACACTGGTTGACAGAAATTGAAAAAGCCAGAAGTTGAATGAAATGTAATGTTAAATATAAGCAATTTAGTCTCATGTTATTCATTGTGACCATGATATCATTACAACTCTACAACACCTGAAGAGTTGACAAAGATGACAAAAGAAATTAGCGCTTACTTACCATTAACAAGAATACGATATTTAATGCTGGTGCTCTGGCATTGTTCGCTGAGCCTGACGCCCTGTCGTAGAAGGGCCAGATCGATATCTCTCACGTTTTCTTCGACGTTTAACAGAAGGTGATCTTTCTCTCCTGTATCTCCACCAAAACAAAGGTGCCAATGATTATTCTTGCCGCTGTACGGACAATCGTTTTCTAACACACCCGGATTCACGCGAATATGGACCATGGTGTGAGTGGATATCTTTTTCACCTTGTCTGTCACAGTCACTTTGAGGGACACGCGATTGATTTCATCTGAAAAAGAAAATACGTTTTTAATTGGATATTGTAAAAAAAAAATAGTAGACTAAAAGATACACTCAATAAAGCTTAAAGATTTCATATCTAAAAAGTCTGTGTATTATTTATATTTACCAGCATTTAATGAGGTCTCTATGTTAGCTTCAATAAACGAAATATTTCTTGACCCCAAAGGTATAACGATACGAAAACGTGCAAAAGTAGATAAAGAGTAAAACTGCTCACAAAGTCACTCTTCTTGCACGAATCATTCAAACTAAAATCACTCTCACGCTCTCATTCAGCCGAGGAATTTGTATCATTTAAAAATGTCACCTGCATTTTAAATATATAAAATATATATATATATATATATAAAATATATATATATATATATATATATATATATATATATATATATATATATATATATAATTATAACAAAGTCCGACAATTTATTAAAGACATTTTTATGTTTAACATTCTTTTTTATAGATACAAGTATTTAAGTAAATACTCTGTTTATAATAAACAGTATTAAATAACATTTACCGGCCTGAATGTCCGAGAAATTTTCATAGAAAATATTTGTCCTTTGACAGGATTCGAACCTGCATCCTATTCATGGAAGATTGAAGTTTATAAGCAGTAAATTCGACCTTTCCTACCGAACGCTCCTTTGTGGCCGAGTCGGTTAAGGCACGTCAGCGTAAATGATGGTTCCGTATAGGATGCAGGTTCGAATCCTGTCAAAGGACGAATATTTTCTATGAAAATTTCTCGGACATTCAGACCGGTAAATGTTATTTAATACTGTTTATTATAAACTTAATTTACTTAAATACTTGTATCTATAAAAAGAATGTTAAACATATATATATATTAGCGTTATAACCATGAGGCTTAGAGAGGAATTTCACAATGGTCAGTTGCCAAGGATTTCTTGATAATATCCGTCTAATGAAACGATTCCAGTGTACAGCATTGTTGACCGAAACCTTAAGAATTAAACTGAGTGGCTGAAACTGTTCAGAAGCTGTCCATGGTTATCCTGGACTAAGTTAAATCTCATCGAAGGATCAACAAATGACCCCCCCCCCGATTATGTGCTCTCCCAGAAATTGTAACTGACGTCCGATGGAGCATAAAATAAAAGTGGTTGTTAGAGAAACATATCTGCCTGAGCAGGCATATTCAACAGGGATTAGGTAGCCACCTTGGTAAACTCGGAAACAAGCAGCCAGTCATTACTTTTATACACACACCTACACACACACACACACACACACACACACACATATATATATATATATATATATATATATATATATATATATATATATATATATATATATATATATATATATATATATATATAT